TGCATGTGGAGGAGTGGGGAATCGAACCCGGCTCTCCCAGACTGGAGTCCGTGCTCCTAACCACTACACCAAACTGGCTCTCAATAATTTAACGTGGGCCCCCGCTACCACAAATTATGCCGTCAAGTTTCCCGCATTTGCAGTGGATGAGCCTCACTTAGGGAAAACCACCTTCATGATCATGGTGTCTCCCCTGCCAGGTAAATATGGAAGACCAAGGCAGACCTGCTGGAGGGATGGAGAGCTAAGGTGCACTCAGCCTCGCTCGCTGTAAGATGCAGGAGGTCCATATTGTTGCTTCTGGCCCTTGAGCTTTATATAGAGGAATGTCACAGACCATCTGGGTCTCTTGTTCTTTTGGATTTGAGTGTGTCGATGCACGAACGGATGTGTCTGACAATAAGAGCCCTGGGATCACCGCTGCAGGGTTGCATCTTCAGCATTACAGGACTCCGTGGAGTCCAGTAGCCATGCCATTTGAGAGAACAGCACAGAAGCACACTGTGTCAACGGCCTTCGACAAAATATACCACCAACACGGACAGAAATCAATGCTCTCGATGCTCTTCAGCTAAGTGGTTACTGGATTACAGACACATTCCAGAGAGGGGGTAGCTGCGTTAGCCTGCTGCTGTGTAAAATGGCAAAAGAGCATCAGCTGCGCTAAAGGCTAACATATTAATTATGGCAGAAGCTATCATGGGCCAGCGTCTATATTGTCAGACACGTCACCATGCACTGACGCACTCAAGTCCAAAAGAGCAAGGGATCCAGGTGGTCTGTGGCATTCCTACATAAAAGCTCAAAGGCCAGAATCAAAAATATGGGTCTCCTACACATTGTAACGAGCGAGGCTGAATGCACCTTGGCTCTCCACCCCTCCAGCAGGTCTGCCTTGGGCTTTCATATGGAACCGGAACATGTGAACACAGCATAGGTGCAGACAAACCAACGTGCACCAGCTCAGATTGCATAGCTGGACTTTACCTGGGAAATTAAGGCTACAAAGGGAGCTTATTTGATGCTCCCATGCAAACCACTGGCAGTGATGGAGTTTGGTCAGGCGTGCCTGGTGGGTGGAGAGAGCTTTCTCTCTGGCTGCGCTCCCCAACATGTGGAAGACACTGCGTACTGCTTAATCCAATCCCAAATGCAGGCAATATAAGAAGTGACCACAGCAGCAATAACAGATGCTAACATTGTCTTCCCACCCATGCTGTGCTAACTTTACACCTGTTTTGAGAGAGGAACCCAGGGTTCTAATATTAGGTGTTAATCAAGGCTACGGTTTTCTCTCCCCTTCAGCAGGGGTCCCCAACCTTTTGGACCCTGTGGGCACCTTTGGAATTCTGACGCAGGGCGGTGGGTCACAAAATGGCTGCCACAAGAGATGAAACCAATGACAGAAATGGCTGCCCAAAGAGGTAGGGCCAACCACACAACGCCGGGGAGCCAGGTTTTGCATGAATCTAATGGTAATTCTTCGACATAATATCAGGAAGACACTCTGTTCAACAGGATGCCTTTTGATCTGCACAGTCAATCAGTCCTCCAGTGGCCAACCAGAAACCCTGCTAGGCAAAAGCCCCACTGGGCCCCACCCACTTTCTAAAAATACTGGGTGAGTCCTAGGAAAGGTGTCAGCAGATACCATGGCACCCACGGGCGCCATATTGAGGAATCATGCACTATGGGGATAAAATTAGTCCAGCAAAGTTAGGGAATGACTGCCACCACTAACTGTTCCTCTTTCCAAATGATCTCTGCTTAGAGGTAGCACAAGACCTGTTGGGACCAGTGTTCCCTCTAAGCTGAGTTAGTATCGTGGGTCCGGCTGAAGCTGAGGCTGACCCCTCCTCAGATAAGGAAGAGGCAGGGAACAACTCAGCCTCCTCTAGAGACAGCCCAGAGGAAGAGCCCTCAGCAGTACCTGAGGAGGAAGAGTCCCTGGCAGCAGCACAAAAGGTGCAGCCAGAAGGAGAGACCATTCGTGAGCTGGGGCCAGCAACCTCAGCTGCAGACACCCCGAGGCCAGACTCCCCAAGGCCTAGTTCCCCTGAGTGCCCCAGACGTAGGGCACGGCAGAGGCTGACTTTGCAGGAACGAAGAAGAAGTGCCAGGCTGCAGCTCCAGCAACGTCAATGAGAGGAGTTGTAAGCCTCTGCAGACTCAACTCCAAAGGGAGGGAGGATCTGTTTAAAACCCCTTGGTGCATCTGCTCCAGCGCTGCAACAACTCTGCAAAATCAGACCTACTTCTGAGTGTGCACCAGTCATCCCTTGCCTCTGGAAACCTGCATTCTTGAAACTTACCTTTGGCTTTCTCACTGACCTTGATTCCGGCCCGTGTCTTCAGCTTCTAGCTTATCCCCTCGGTGGCTCCCAGCCAAGTCAGCACAGTTTGTGTGAGCCAGCTCAGTTTTTTAGCCTCTGGCTCACACATTTTTGTCTTAGCTCAGGAAGGAGGGCTCCAGAGCAAACTAATTGAAGCAGCAGCCACATCGCTCTCTCACAACTTTAATGCCAGTAGCTCACAAAGTAGAATCTTTGCTCACAAGACTCCACAGCTTAGAGGGAGCATTGATTAGGACCCAAATTATGTACACCCCCCCTTATCTGTCTTGTGTGTCTGTGTGAGTCACAGAGTCTGAGAGTTGGAAAGAGTCTTAAAAGGTCCTCTAGTCCAACTCCTGGCTCGCCAATGGAAATCCAAAGCAGCAGCCGTATCCCAAACAGATGGTCCACCACCACCAACGGAAAGCCCTTTCCCATCTGTAATTTATTCCATTGTCATTCACTCTTAATGTTAGGAAGTTTCTCCTGGTTTTCAACTGAAATCTACCTTCCTGTAACTTAAACTGACAGGATCTAGACCTAGAGCAGTAGGAAAAAATGCATCTTTGCCGTTTTCCAAGTGACAACCCTTCAGATATTTGAGGAGTGCCATCAATTATGTCTTCCCCCAGTCTTCCCTTCACCAGGCTCAACAAACCCGTTTTTCCCCCCAACTTTTCCTCACAGGAGTTGCCTGGAATTGGACTGAGTGCTCCAGATGAGGTCTGACTAGCATGCAGAAGAATAGAACGGTTACTTTGTGTGACCTGGACACCACAAATCTATTCATGCAGATGAAAATTGCATTCGCTTTTTAATTATTTTTTTTGCAATCCAATCGCACTGCCTTCTCACATATACATAGATACCAATTCAAGATAACATTCCATGTGTCTGACAACATGGGCCTTAGTTCATGAATGCTCACGACACAATACATTTGTTAGTCTTTAAGATGCCACAAGTCTCTTTGTTGGACTACAGACTTTACCACTGCTGCACGGGATGCTATGACACTACCGAACAGGTTTTTAAATTTTTTGGTGCTGTCAATAATTTCAGAAATGGGTCTGTGACTTGTGAGATGAGCCCTGTTATTCTTGCTCTGCAGAGTTATTCACATTTCTCAATTAATTTTAATTGTAAGGTCATTTGGAGGCCCTAAATCTCGGCCTTCAAGATGAGGGTCTTTTCTCAGAATTTAATGTCCTGAATTTCTCTCTCTCTCAAAAACGTCTTCTTGTGTCCAATAAGTACCAAATGACTTATCTGAGCTGTGGTTCTTGTGCTTTGTTGTTGAACTGAGGTAAAGTCTCTGCCTGTCTCCTCTTCTCTAATTTTTAGATCCTTTGAGCAAAGATTATGGGACAAGGACAAGTCAAAGTAGTTTGAACATTTCTAACATGGCTGAAAGAGGACATTTGCAGCTCGGAATGAGCTCTGGGAGCCACCAATGATGTCACGTTTGTAGACGGATTGGACAGAAAGAGTGAGGATTTTCCTAAATTCATGCCTGCTTCTCTGTTAGAGGTGAAGCAAGAATTCCCAGTTTGGTCTCACATCGTGGTTAATCCGACATGCAGCTGGGTACTTTTAATGGTTTTAATATGACTTGATTATATTGTGTTTAATGGGAATGTGATGTTTTTACATTCTTACCACCTGCTGCCTTCTTATGGATGGCTTCCCTTTACATTTCCTGTTTAGTGCTAACCATTGTTTTGACATATGAACCGGCAAACTCTGCTAAGTGCTCAGCCTCTAAACCAATAACAGAAAACCACGTCAAACCAATGGGTTTTCCACTCTGGTTTGGAGGGAAAGCACTAACCGTATATCTTGTCAACTGAAAATCATGGCAAACGATAGTTAGTGCTAAACAGGAAACCCCTGAGAGAGAAGCTGAGAGCAGCATGAAAGAAGGGAAAAGGGAACTCATCTGCCCACACCTTTTCCCCCTCGTCCTCCAAGCCAAAGTTTGAAGTGAGTCACAGCTATCCTTACGCCTGGCTTACATATCCCACACCTTGGACACGAGTTTTAATCTATAAATTACCATGTCTATAAAGTGTTAAAGACCCCTTTCTGCTAAAGTTTTCCTTCAAGGGGAAAAGACTTCTTCTGATGGAGAAAAGCCTTTCTCTGTTGGAGGAAGCGTTTCTCTTTTGGAAGAAGACTTGGTGGAAGGGAGTCACAGGTAGGGTTGCCAATCCCCAGTTGGGGATGGGGAAATCCCCTGGTTTGGAGCCCCTCCCCTGCTTCAGGGCTATCAGAAAGCAAGGGGGGGGATTGGCTCCTGAGTTCTCCATTATACCCTGTGGAGACTGGTCATTGATGGGTACAATACAGAATCAATCCGTGGGTATCTGGGGGGCCTGTTTTTTTGGGTAGAGGCACCAAATTTTCAACATGGCTGCTGGTGCCTCTCCTCAACCCCCCCCCTCCCCAGTTTCAAAAAGATTGGACCGGGGGTCCAATTCCATGAGCCCCCAAAAGAAGGTGCCCCCATCCTCCATTATTTCCAATGGAGGGAAGGCATTTAAAAGGAACACGGTCCCTTTTAATGCGACAGCCAGCTCACCCGAAACTCACTCCGGCGTTCAATCGCACTACTTCCCTTCCCTCTCCTGGAGCCTCCTGGTAAGTCCCCTGCCATCACCTGGCAATTCTAGTCACGGGATCCAACCCAATGGCTTTCCAAACCAGTCTAAACACTGTTTCGTCCTAGAGCAGATGAAGTCCCTCAAGCAAGCAAGCAAAGCAGAGTGCCGTATATTACATCACGGAAAGCTGGTCAGCCTTTGATCTCACTTGCCTCGGGGGGAAACCCCCCCCCCAATTTAAGTGAAGCATTCATAAGATAACTTTTGCGAGCAAGAACCTACAGCTTTCCCTTCCAAGGATTTGCTTCCACTTTCAGTATCAATGATGTAGACCTTGTGCTGCAGAAGGATACATACATTTTGTGCCAGGGTGGACTGGGATGTTCAAGTAGCCCTGGAGCGGGCTCAGGTAAGTGGTGGTGCTGCCAGAAATGAAGAGGCCACTTGGTTTAGCTCGCTCCTCGCTGCTAGTGGCCCAAGAAGAACTTTCCCGATAAGCTAAAAGGCCATTTTGCCCCTTTAAAAAAATCCCTGAATGCTTAATAAGCCTATTTTTAGGCCCTTTTTCTAGGGTTGTCAGGTCCCCTCCTCACACTAGTGGGGGTCTTGGGGGGTGTTCCGGGTGTGGGCGGGGACATCCCCAAGCCCCGCCCCCCGAGACCGACCACCCAATCGGCCACTCCTCTCCCTCTGCTCTTGCCCAATACAAGGGGCTTCAGCTGGTCGGCGGGGACCACATGGTCCGCCGGCCAACTGGACGGCCCTTTAAATCCAGCAGGAGGGAGGGAGGGGAGGTCACGAGTGCAGGGGTGGATTGAAGCCCCCAGAAGTGGGGGAACCTCTGCCCGGACCTGGGGGGCTGGCAACCCTAACTAGCTCTTTAAATCACACTCCACTTCTACACATTCTAAAAGTACACCTTCATGTAGAGAAGATGGGTGGGGGATGCACGAGAATAATGCCATCAGTGGGACCGATCACACAGCCTTCCCTTTGGAACACGCCACATGGCCTCCCCTTTGGAATTGCTTTGGCCCGACCTATGCAATTGGCTCTGCCCATCTAGCTGTTCATTCACTCGCAGCTGCAAGCGGTCCCCGCCCTGTGTGGCAGCTTTAAAGTCTGAAGAGTAACATCACTGAAGAACTACTGGATCACGAGCGGGTGAACACCACGTGCTCCCGCTCTGCCACAACGGGACGACAGTGCGGACTGTGCAAAGAGGCACAGAGCTGGAACCCGTTGAACAAGAAAGGAAAAATATCACTTACTTGATATTGTCGAGGCACCCAGATTCAGGCTTCAATATGGCCGTATGATGGAACATTTTGTAAAGAGCAATCCCGAGGAAGATTACGTTAAGCTGGAATTTTTTAAAAAAGGAGAGAGTTATTGTATTTATTTCTTTATTACAACATTCATAGCCCAAGCTGTTCCTCTTGGTTCAAGGCAGCTTACAATAATTGTTTAAACATCCTCAGCTAAAACCAAAGATAAAATAACAAGCCCCAAATCTCCCCCCCCCCCCCAAAAGATGCCTGCTATTCAAACCACCTCAAAAGCCCTGGTAAACAGGCAGGCCTTGCAGTGCCTCCTGAAGATCTCCAAGGAGAGAGCTCCCTCACCTCTACAGGGAGTCAATTCCACAGAGCTGGAGCCACCACAGAAGAGGCCCAGCCTCTGGCTGATGGGACAGCCAACAGGTGTCTGCCTGATGACCGCAGTTAGTGCACAGGGACACATGGAAGGAGACGGCCCTTCAGATATGTGGGCCCCAGGTCATAAAGGGCTTTCAAGGTCATAACCAGCACCTTGAACTGAACCAAAAAAAAACAGACTGGCAGCCAATGAAGCGGTTTCGAAATGGGTCACGCATGTTCCCATTGGCTAGCCCCTGAAAGCAGTTGGGCTGCCGCATTCTGGACCAGCTGTAGTTTCAGGGCTGTCTTCAAAGGCAGCCCCACGCAGATTGCAGGTAGAGACTCATTTGAGGGAATGCTTCTGCATACATAGAACATTAGGCATCAGGGAACGGGGTGCCAGCCAAACCTTTTCCTAGTGTGCTAGTTTTCTACGTGCAGGCAAGAGCTTCACTGAATTGTACGGTTGCCATGTAGTGTGGGCAGAAGGGCTGTGGGGGGGCAGCGTCCCACAAAATTTTTGCCGATTGCTAGAGCTACTCTTGTTTTTTCCCCGCATAGCTCTAGGAATCACTAGGAACTGTACAGTCAGAACTTCTGGTAAGTACCTGAGGCCTGTCATGGGCATGGATGAGGATGAGCTGACACAGCCTGGAGAAACCACAGCTGGCCCCTCTGAAGCAGCAGAGGAGGATAGCTGGCAAGTGCTTGTAACAGCAGTCTTCACACCTGGCCCAGATAAGAAGGGAGCGAATGCGGCAAAACTAAGCAACCAGGTGACGAGAGGCCAGGCTACAAGGAAGATGCTCAGCTAGCCCAGAGTTCTAACAGGAGCCTGGCCGATTGTGCAGCTGGCTAATTGGTAGCAGCATTTAACTCCACACTCTGGGCAGTACTCTTTGTGGAAGCAACAAGCCAACTTTGTGCTGCTTGCATCCACTCTGGCTCGGCTCTTGCACCTAGACCTTTCGACCCCCTGACTTTGGACTTGGCTGTGTGTTCCTGGCTCCTGATCCCGGCTTGGCTTTGGACTATGTTTCAGTGATTTGGACTTGGCTCTGTGTTTCTGGCTCCTGACCCCGGCTTGGCTTTTTGGACTTTGCACTCAGTGTTCCCTCTAAGCTGAGTTAGTGTGAGCTAGCTCACAGTTTTTTAGCCTCCAGCTCAGACATTTTTGTCTTAGCTCAGGAAGGATGGCTCCTGAGCAAACTAATTTGTGCAGGAGCCAAATCGCTCGCTCACAACTTTAATGCCAGTGGCTCACAAAGGAGAATTTTTGCTCAAAAGACTCCACAGCTTAGAAGGAATATAGCTTGCACTGTCTTCTTGGCTCCTGACCTTGGCCTGTTCTGGACTCCCTTTGACTGGCACCCCATCCCGTGACAAGGCCTTATTTTTTCTTTTTAATTTTTTTATCCAGGACAACCATGGTCCCGCCCCCCCACAGCTCCAGTTTCCACCCACTAATCCGCTGAGCATCAAGGGACAAAGGCTGCAGTTAGCAGGCAATGGGAATCCTACTAAACCAGGCAAGACTTCAGTTGCTATCAGCCCAAGTGTGCAGTTTACTGCTTCCGTGAGAACCAATTGTTTACGGCACACAAAACTTGGTGAGGAATTAGGTCTTGCTCATTTTGCGGACCTGTTTCAAAGAGACTTGTCTGGCAAGGGAGCTTACAGAAAAGAACCCACAGAAGGGACACAAAGCCACTGTGTCAGAGACGCTGGTCTTAACAAGGGCTTTTGTAGAAAAACAGATGTTTAAAAATCTGACACGTTGCTTTTTTGGGGGGTCTCTGCGGTGTGTTATTTAATCCTGACTCTTCAGGCACAGCGGTGACACTGTCGCGCGGGACTCTGCGTGTGGCCGTTTTCAAAGGCGGCAGAATGGAATATACAGGAAGGAGAGCGATTGTTAAAAGATCCACACTGCGATGACGAGACAAAACACAGCCTCGGCGAAGATACCAAAAATACTCAAAATCGTTCCAGACGGAGGGAGCTTTCCATTGTCGAAAGCCGAGTTCTCAATGAGCCAGACGCAAGAAACTGAGTCATCACAACAGTGCCCCGGCTTTCATTCATTGACTCAGGAGCGCTTCTGGAGACGGGTGGCAATTTCTCGCGAGTCAGGCAAGGTGTTTGCATGGGCCCTTCAAAGCAGGGAGGGAAACGGCTTGGCCTTTTACTAGAGCAAGGAGAGGGGGGCGAGGCTTAGGCGTGCCCAGGTCCACGACGGCATGTGCCAGGAGGGCAACATGTGCCCTCCTCCCAAGTTGCATCATTAGTACACACTGGTGCCTCCACACTGCCAAATTAATGGCAGGCGCCCATCAGTCACACCACCTGCTGTACCGTGCCCTCTTTTTTCCTGTGCACCTGGGGACAGGGCTGACCCCTTTCCCAGCAGGCTGATCAGGCAGAGATCAGTGGATTTCCCCCAACGGAATTGGAAACCAAGGGGCGCACCTTAGCTTAGTATTTCTGTCTCTAAGCTTGTTCTCATGCTCTGCATCTAAACTCTGTCCCGGACCTCAAAGCTGCCTCTCATTGGTGCCAGCTAGGTTGGGCGGGGGAGGGAGGGAGAGGGATGGGACACTGGCCCTTCATCCTTAGGAAGACGAAGAAGAAGACGAAGAAGAAGAGACTGGGTTTATACCCCGCCCTTCACTACCCAAAGGAGTCTCAGAGCGGCTTACAAACTCCTTCCCCTTCCCCTCCCCACAACAGACACCCTGTGAGGTAGGCGGGGCTGAGAGAGCTCTGACAGAAACTGCTCTTTTTCAAGGACAGCTCTTATCAGAACTATGGCTTGCCCAAGGTCATCGAGCAGGTTCAAGTGGAGGAGTGGAGAATCAAACCCGGTGCTCCCAGATTAGAGTCTGTCCACTTAACCATGACACAAAACTGGCTACACACCCCACGCTATTGTTGGTTTTGAGCCACAATGCAGCAGAAAGTGGGGTATTTTGGGTGCATTACCAGCTTAAGCAGTCCAGGCATGGGTTTCTCAGCTGAGGCACCCCAGCTCTCCAAGAAGAACTTTCTGCATTTGAATTCCCCATTACAAACAGTGCGGCAGGACATTCTCTACCAGGATCTGGATATGCAGGCAGCCCAAAGACTACTGAAATCCATGGAGGGCATGGATGGAGGGCAGGAGGAGGAACAGTGTCCCCAAAGTTATTAACACTGTAGCTTTTGGGTTTGTTTGGGTTTGTTTGCATTTTTCATATGTGCACACATGTGCGTGTGAGTGTGCGCGCACCTGGAAGTCACAGCAACCTCTGGTGACTGACCTCTATTGGGGGCCTGGAGGATATCCAGAGAGGTGGCTGAATAAGGCCCGCCCCCACCTCCCGACTGCTGGTGTTCCAAGGAGGTCTCCCATCCAAGTCCTTGGCAGAGTCGGCCCTGCTCAGCTTCCGAGATCTGACGAGATTGGGCTTGCCGGGTCAGGGACAACACTGTAGCTTCTAATGGAAATGCCCCAGCAAAAATATTGGCTTCTTCTCTGTATCTGATGGGAAGGTTTGGTCCCTCAAGCTCATAAGACTTTTTCTTAACTTGTGAAGGGCCTATCCATGATGTAAACCATTTGGGAGGCAAGAAGTGGGCTTTCAGTAAGCTTGCCAGGCCCCCTGCTGGCAGTTGAGGATCCCCTCCTCCAGGACCCCCTCCACCCCAGGGCTGATCAGCTGACTGGTGGGGCAGAAGGAGGCCTAGGCTTGCCTCGCCAGCAATGCAGTGATGTAACTTCCGGTGAGCACACCAGAAATGATGTCATCACATTGCTGGTCAATGCTCCCCCTAAGCTGTGGAGTCTCGTGAGCAAAAATTCTACTTTGTGAGCTGCTGGCACTAAAGTTGTGAGTCGGCGATTTGGCTGGTGCTCTGGGGCCCTCCTTCCTGAGCGAAGACAAAAATGTGTGAGCTGGAGGCTAAAAAACTGTGAGCTGGCTCACACTAACTCAGCTTAGAGGAAACACAGCTGGTGATGCAGGGATGCGCTGATGTTTGGACAAAAACGCCACAGTAAAAATGCCTTCTACCATATGGAGTTTTTGTCTGAACACCAACTTATGTGCCTGCTTCTTGCTCCTCGTGGCCCGACTGAGGGCTGCTGGGAGCAGGAGGCGGGGCTTGTTGCATGTGCCCGCCCCCTGGGCTCCTTACTGCTGGAGCGCCGCTCCTGTCTGCTCCCACAGGAAATGACCCCTGTTGGTTTCTGAAGGAAGTTGAGGGTATACTGGACAGAAGGAGAGGATGCCACACCCAGTGGTCCGGGACGAGGCTGTGACACGACTGCCTGTAATGAGCTCATTGCTTTGCTAGCTGGTCACCTGGTACAGAGGAACCTGCTAGAGATTTCTAAGATTTTTTTGGGGGAAGGGGGGGGGCTCCTATTCAAGACTGTTTGAATTTTATCAAGATTTAAGACGCCATCACATGCCATGAGCACCATGGGTTCCACCCACACACAATTCTCACAGCTCTATCGAGTTTGGGCTAAAAAAGAAACAAAAATGATCCTAGCATTAGAGGGAAATGACATTTATCTTGGCTTCAGACTGTGTGCCAGGATCTGATGGTTAAATTAACTATGCCAAATGCTTCGGTGGGTGCCAGTTTATCTCTCCAAGTCTCAAACGTTGTTGTCCCTTCTCCTCAACACCTCCCCGTCTGCAGAAACATTTTCGTATAGCTGGATGTAGATTCTCCAGATGAGACAGACATGTACAGTGGAGACCCTGTTAAGATTCATTGGCTCTGCAAGGAATCCTATCTTCCTATTCTGAAGTGGGAAATTGACCGAGATAGATTCCAATCTAACATTTTCCCTGCACAGAAAAGCACTTGCAGAGGAACACAGGTGATGCAGTCATATCACGCTGCAAAGTCCACATGCCCCGTTGATATGAATAGGAGGAGAGAAACCTGCCTCTTTCCACCCATCCATCATATCTACAGGGATTTAGCATTCAGACAATGCATTTGTCACCAGTGTCCTTCCAGGGCTGTGGGCACTGGCCCTTCCCGAATTAATCTACATATGCTGAAGATTATGAAGGTAAGGTTTCAAGTCTGGCTTCTGGACCTCGACAAAAGAGGGGAGTCAGGAACTCTTACCATAATTATCAAGGTTGCCGGTCCTATAAAGCTCCAGATGAAGTAGGTGTCAAGTCGAAGCCAACATCTGTAATGGGAAAGCAGGGAAAGACAGCATTCAGAGTCTGTGCATGGGGCATATATCAACAGTGAGCGAGTGACAGAGAGAAATGGGAGCTGTATAACATTCCACTAGGAGGCAGGAAATATTACATGGCTTGTTCATTTAAAAGCTGAATTATACGCCGGGTTTCTGACAGTGCTATTGATGGAGTAAGATAATTACCTCTGGAGGAAGCAGAAGAAAATAGCACAGAGTCTACTTTGCTAAAGCTTTAGGTTTCGGTCATTGAAAATCTTTATCAAAAGCCCTAAAAGAGCCACTCAACCAAGCTGTTCTTTGCTGTCCAACCGGACTGCCAGCCTCCACGGCAGGTGACTTCTTCTACTGGGAAGATCTGAGCAGCTGGGTGAAAGGCGAAATAAACTTGGGAACGGGAGGCTGAACCTTAATTAGATTCAAGACATTTTGGCCCCCCGTGGAGGAATGCATTGTTTTCATGAATATTTCTAGAAGTACAACTGACCTTTACTATCAAGCTAAGTGATTCATGACCCAGCCTAAATTATTAATCGCTTAATTTTGCCTGTATTTAATATACCCCAATGGTTAACAGTCCTGGGAAATTACATTTCCATTCCGAGTTCATTTGACGACACAATGGACTTGAATAGCTATGAGACAGATGGATATAAATTCTGCAAAAACTGCATATGATCTTTGAATTAACACCTTTCCTTGTTGGTGGTTTTGTGCCAAGACTGGAGACTGGCAAGGTGATTTAATACCTGCTGTCCAAAGAAATGTGAGAACACTTTCGCTTGGGAATTATGGAGATTTACTTGGAAATTAAATCTCAGGTGGACAGCCCTAGGTGGTTTCTTCATTTGGGTCCTTCTTTTGGAGATGATGGAACTTGATCTTGTTCAAGAAAAGAAGACCTCTTCCTCAAGCATGCTCAGTTCTCATCTCCTCAAGAGGAAAATAAGTGGGGGAACGTACAGGTTGTGTCTTGCTGTGTGTGTTGCTTGGACCTTGAACATTTACGTATTCATAAGGTTTATATGCTACCTTTGCATAGACCTGATCAAAGCAGTTACTAATAACAACCAAACATGAGCACAACGACCACAATAAAGCACAGAACCAGTAAAACAACATTAGCTCCACCAGCAAAGAGCCATACAATTTTGCAGCCTTAAAAATCTACATCCTTCAAAAGTAGCATAAAATGCGATAAACTAGTGTAAAAATGGTATAAAAGCAACATAATGCAATGCAAGAACAGCCCTCCTGGATCAGACCAACGGTCCATCTAGTCCAGCATCCTGTCTCATGCACTGGCCCACTAATTCCTCTGGACGGTCACCAACACAGCACAGAGGACAAGGCTTCCCCCATGTTGCCTCCTGGCTCTGGGATTCAGAGGTTTACTGCCTCTGGATATGGAGGTCCCCTTTAGTCACCAAAGCCAGTAAGTCACTGATGGACCTATCCTTCATGAATATATCCAATCCCCTTTGAAAGCCATGTATGTCTGTGGCCATCACTACATCCTCTGGCACCGAATACCACATTTTAAATCAAATGTTGAGTGCAGCAGTATTATTTTTGTCCGTCCTGAATCTACTGCTCATTAACTTCACTGAATGCCTTCGAAGCCATGCTGATTTTCTGCTTTGTTCCTCTGTGCGCTTAATAACTCTACCCTTAATAACACTTTCTACTAATTTACCTGAGTCTGTCATTTCCTAGTCTCTCTCTGGACCCCTTTTTAAACATTGGTGTCACATTTGCTACTCTCCAACACTGGTACAGAGGCTAATTTTAGTGACAAGTTACACATACTGGTTACAAGATCAACAATGTCATATCTGAGTTCTGTAAGAACCCTTTGATGTACGCCCTCAGGACCTGGAGACTTAGGTTTTTAACTTCCCCAACAGGTCTAGAACTTGATCTCGTCACCTCAATTTGATTCAGTTCTTCAGACCACATTCCTGAAAACAGTTGCTCTGACCTAAGTTCATGACCCACACTTTCCACAGCGAACACAGACGAAAAGAATTCATTTCGCTTCTTTGCTACCTCCTCATCCTTCTTTAGCAATCCTCTTTTCCCTTGGTCATTCCCAGCGGTCATTTCATAGAAAAAGAGGTGCAGGAGCTCATTAGCATAACTCATTAGCATAACTTATTTGCATATGCCACACCCTCTGACATCACGGGAAGTGTGTCAGAAGGCAACACCCACCACTCAATGAATAATAAACCTAATGAACCCTACAGATTTGATTGCTAGCTATGGGGGTAAGAACATGCAGATCTGTCCTCGCAGAGGAGGGAGAGCTTGTACCTGAATAAAACTTGGTCTTAAAGGTGCCACTGGACTGTTTTGGATTGCTAACTATGGAGGGGGGGATCTGCAGATCTGCCCTCACAGAGGAGGGAGAGCTTGTACCTAAAGGCAGGAAGGGGGGGGCTGTGCAACTTACCTGGCTGCTTCTTGCGCCTCGTGGCCCGACTGAGGGCTGCTGGGAGCAGGGGGCGGGGCTTGTTGCATGTGCTTGCCTCCTGGGCTCCTTACTGCCGGAGCTCCGCTCCTGTGCACTCCCACAGGAAATGACCCCTGGTCATCCCAAGGCCCAGCTTCTCTGGCCAGTGTCCTGCTCTGAATATATTTAAAGCAATGTTTCATGTTTGTCCTGCTGCTTTTAGCTATCTGCCCCTCCAATTCTCTTTTCCCTTGACTAATTATTAACTTAATGTTTATTCTGCCAGGCCCTGTGCTCCCTTCTAGTCACCTTCTTGGGGTAAACCTTTCACTTTTAAAAAGAGGTATTTTTGCCTTTTATGGCTTCTGTGACTTGGGTTGCTAATGATGCAGGTTTTAGACTCTCCTCACTCAAGTTATACATTGTATCTGAGCTTTGGTTAGTGTGCTTTTAAGTAGCTTCCAAGCATCTGCTATGGATTTGCCTCTCTTGATTTTCCCTTACAGCTAACTAGCCTCCTCATTTTTATTAAGTTCCTTCTTCTGAAGTCAATGAGGCTGTTTTGGACTTTGGGGGCAACTTTCCATGAATTTGAATAATAAACCTAATGAACCCTACAGATTTTATATCCAGGCATAACAGCGTACCATTGATTTTCCCCTTTCCACCATTTTTCTTATACTCACACCATATCTAAACTGTCATTTAGCACCAAGCACTCCAGCTTCCCAAATCTCGGCGCAGAGACTTCTGGCATTGGCATACAGATACCTATAACATGTTTCTCTCTCCAGTGATCCATGTCTTACTCAGCTATTTGGTCCTTGACCCTCCTTTGTCGGCCTACTCTCACTCTCAAAGTCTTATTGTGATCCTACCATATCACCCGGAACGTTTTCCCCATCATGTATGTGGGATGAGTTGTCCAACTAAAGGCTGTTAGTTTAAAGGTGTTAGTTTAAAATCTGCTCTGCCACCTCTTCAATACTGTGCCACCAGCTTGATTCCCTTTCGGTTCAAGTTAAGCTCATCTCTTTTGCACAGGTTCAGCTTGTCTTAGAAAGGTCTGCAGTGCCAAATGAATCAGAAACCTTCCTCCTGGCATCAATCTCTCATCCACAAACTGAGACTTCTCATCTGTGCTTGTCCAGATGGCCCTGTGCATGGAACAGGTAGTGATTCCAAAAGTTCTACCTTTGATGTTCTGAAAGTGCTACCTTGAAGCTACCTTTGGCCATCAACCTTCTGCCTAGTAACCTACTATTTCTTTTCCCCTTGAGCCAGACTACTACATTTCCCAATGTCAATGGAGCCAGAATGCGCCACAACCACTGACTCCTCCCCAGCACTACCAACCCCTCTAGAAAGTGTCTGATGCCTACAACCTTTGCACCAGGCAAGCAAGTCATTATGTGGTCAAAATGCCTGCCACAGACCCCACTGTCTGTATTTCTAATGGCTGGCTTACCTACTACCAAAAGCCCACCTCCCCCAACCCCAGAGGAGAATCTTTGGTATAAGAGGGTATCTACTGGTATAAGAGGGTATCATCTGAGGAAGGGATCCCATCTAAGAGATCACATCACTCCTCCTCCTCATTCTGATGCCTTCCAACCTAGATACCTTCAACCTCCACAACAATGGAGGAGCTGTTGAAAAAGGTGTGGGATAGTTTTAGTGAGTCCCCGGGGGTCTTGTCCACATCTTTCACTCTTCTCTCAGCTTCTCCAGGTTGGTAGCTCTAACCTCAAGGGAACAAACCTCACTCCCTGAAAGCCAAGAACTCTATGCATTGAGCATACACTCATCCTTCTGTCCAGTGCGCAGATAGACATACATGTGGCTCTCCTTGCAAAACACTGGGTAGCCATGACGTGTCTGCTGGCTTACGAACCTCCAAGTTGGTTGGTTTGTTTAAACTTTTTAGGGTCAAATTGGGGTGTGGTTACCTAAATCTACATGAATTTCTGTAGCAAGAAGGATAATATAGTACTTACCTGGATGTCAGCCTTGTATTCTTTTTCAAGAAACTTTTGATTGTGGGGGCTCTCTCTTACCCCCCTAGTCAGTGTTCCCTCTAAGCTGAGTTAGTGTGAGCTAGCTCACAGTTTTTTAGCCTCTGGCTCATACATTTTTGACTTAGCTCAGAAAGGATGGCTCCAGAGCAAGCTAATTTATGCAGTAGCCAAATTGTTCACTCACAATTTTAATGCCAGTAGCTCACAAAGTAGAATTTCTGCTCACAAGACTTCGCAGCTTAGAGGGAGCATTGCTCCCCCTTGAACTTCCTCACAGAGCTCATGCTTCCATTGCATGCTCTTTGAACGACCCTATTTGAAAGCACGGGTTGTAAGCACATACTCGGCAGAAGCCCCTTCCATGTGCTAGTAGAGTGCACACCATGAGCTAGAAACAAGCTTCAGACAGATAGCCCTGCACAGCTCAGGAACCAAACTCCCTGAAGCAAAAAGAGACATGCTTTCTCTCTCTGCCTCTTGCACTAATTCCAAAGCTCAGCTCCCCCCGTTAGAAG